TTGCGTGCCACATTACAAGTAGGCACTCCAGACCAGCTCCTCCTCGTTTGTTGCCGAGTAGGCGGTCTCGTAGCACTGTTACAGAGCCGATCTGAGCAAACCAATGCAGGTCCCTAGTCAATTCGTCGCTCTCTCATTACCTTCATTTAGACAATACAGATGGACATTAACTTAGACATTTGCATGCTTTAACTATAATAGCTTTGGTTTCAGTCGATGCGATATTGTTCTTGGAAACACTTTTCTATGGTATCCTACTAGCCTCACAGATTCCTAGAACGTCGACTTGAAATATATTGACGTGGTTCTAAAGCCACAGGGACTAAGCGATGACAAGCTCTTCGGAGCACACACCAGTAACAGTAGATACAGCTGCCATCCTTATTAGTAAACTAACACTATTTTCGATCCCCTTTTGGATAGAAACGACACCTAAATACTTAAATAAAAATTTGGGGTTTCTACCACACATACCGTGTATTTTTATTTGGTAAATTTGAGCTTATTTATATCTCTGGAATTTTCACAAAAACTACTTTGTAATGTTAGAACCCATCTGGGGCTTACTTGTCATCACTGATGTTAATTCTGATTTTTAATTTAATAGTAAATTCTTCTGTCAAGCGTTATACAAGGTCAGCATTAATATCACCGATGACAGTTAAGTCTTAGGTTGATGTTTATAGCAGAATCTAATTTTTGTGGAAAGTGCAGAAGTCCCCGTTTTCCATAGTCCCAATTCTTTCAGTCTGAATGCTGAGTATGTCGCGACTTTCCTCTGTCCGAGGTCTATGGGCGAGAATAATATTTAGTGCTTCTGGCAGGTGGAATTTCAGTTCCCCAGTTATCCCCGAACATGCTGATATTTCCTGTCGACTACTAAACATTGGTTTCGCACAAGTTCAATATAGCACACCCGCTCATACATAGCCGTAACAAATGCGCATGCTCTATTTCTCGAACACTCCTAGGGCCGCCTTATCAGTTGTTATCGTCCAAGCTTCTGCGCCATACGTACGTTAACCGCCTCATAAATTGCAAAATTTCCTGGGTAGAGAGCGGACTTACTTCTCAATTGCCTGCGCGATAATGGTCGTTCAGAAGAGAGCTTCTGTTTTTTGTGTCGTTCGCAGGTATCAAAATAGTAACATTTAACGGGTAAGTTATTTTATAACTTGCGAAATTGGTTTTAAAAAGTCAAAGAGATTGTGTGCATCGATCGAGAATAAAACTGTCGAGAACGTTCTCAATGGGAATTACTTATATAAGAAAAAAACCCTGTGGAACGTTTCCGAAGAGAACAAAATGCGAACTATACTTTCGGGAACATTTCTAAGAGAACAAAATGGGAACAAAAGTCTTCGAAGCGTTTTGGGAAAAAGCTAAACGGGAACAAAAGTCTAAGCAACTTTCACTCGAAGAACGATTTGGGAACTACAGTCTCAGGAACTTTCTCACAGAGAACGAAACGGGAGCAAATCTTCTCTGCAGCATTCGCGAAGAATGGAAGCGAGAATAAAATTTTTCACATACCGTTCATTAGTTTGAAATGTTTGCATATTAAAGCTAATTACAAAAGAACTGGTAACCGGGCAAATTAAGTAAACGAACGACTTAAGACACGAACTTTTGTTGCACAGAAAATAAAAATTCTTACGTTAATGGACAGTTCTCCCTAATGATAAACAATCTGGAAGTTGAAATGACCGATACTTCCTCTGGTTCTCACTGAAACAATTTTTCATCCCAACACGCAGACTCCCCACTCATTCTTAACGTTAATAGTTCATTTCCACCAACTCTTTATGCCTATTGGAAAAAGCAGATTAAAACTCGAAGGAGGTAACTTATCTAAGCTCTTAACTGCAGTTAAGCGTTTGGTGGAAATGGGTTATAAAAGTTCTGAAAATTTTTGATTTTTCTCTAGCCGAACGTTTCCCAGACTTTTGCTCTTATTTGATGCTCCTCGAAAACGTACTCGACACTCTCGTTTTCATTTTGTTCTCATTGGAAACGTTTCCGAAAATTTCGTTCTCATTTTTGCTTCTTGAGAACGTTCCCGAGAGTTTTGTTCAAATTTTGTTCTTTACAAAAACCTTTTGTTCTCATTTTGTTCCCGTTCAAACTGCTCTCAATACTTTTGTTTCCGTTTGGTTCTTTTGTGGAAACGTTCTTGATATTACATTTTATTCTCATACAGAACTATACCAAAACTGAAACGCCTTCTCGGTCCCTGGTTTCGGGATTGTCTGTTGTTTTAGATTTCGGCAAAATATTCAAAAATATCTATTAAAGTAGCACTGAAACTACAAAAACTTGAAAAAGGGACAACAAAACTTTAACGGCTAAATATAGCTATCAACAAAAAACGTAAAAAATGTTGCAGAAATAGCTGTCTAAATACTGTAAATGACAGTAGTAGAGACGAGAAACACACAAAGGCATACGTAAGAACAAAAACGATAAATAAACTTTTAAATGCCACGTGCTTGGCTGCATTTCTAGGAATAATAGAAAAATACTAAAGATTTCTATCGGTTTCGCAAAGCTGGCAAACACGAGCGAGATAATTATTAAAGCATTAAAAAGGAAGTAAAAAAGAGAAAAAAATAAAAATAAAATAAAATAAATAAATGTAAATAGAGAAAGAGCAAAAAATGATGGAAAGACTTACTTTGAAGAACATTAAAAATATTAAAATGAAATTTAAATAGCTATTTGCGTGCGAAGCACTTGCTGCGACAAGTAAGGGTAGCCGCCGCCAAAATGCTTAAGAGTTGCAAAGCTTACAGTAAATTGCGCAATTTAGATGGTAATGGTGGTGNGAGAATCGGAAAACCAACACCAACATGCGATGCGGGTGGTAGGCAGCAACGCAGCTACCCGGATATGAGTCCGCACGAGTGGCGCAACGCCGCAGACACTTACTTCCACCGCGCCCGACTATGTACTTACACTACCGTTCGCATGCAACACTGTGGCATATGGTAAGTACTCGTAATAAGTAAATATGAATGCAAGTACGACTATGTATGAAAGTATTATAAGTAGCGCACCGCTTGCCACGAAAGTAGTTCGTTTGTTGCACGCTGTGATAATTCTATTGCTGCGCGCAGTTTTGAGCTTGAGCCGCGGCTGTCAGCCAACTGCCGGCAATGGTCACAAAGTGG